TTTTTTGGGTGCAGCCATCATTGTTTGGCGGGCCTGGGCTGGATTTGAACCTGCCAGTCCAGGTGTATATGGCTGGTGCCTTAGCCACTTGAGCCACAGGCACCAAGCCAAAACTATATTTTTTAATTCATCCAACAAGAAGCTATAACTTTATTAATGATAGAAACAGTACAAATTTCAAACCAAGCTGCAGTTACTGTTTTATTTTTATTTTTTTGAGACAGTTTCTTACAATGTCACCTTTGGTAGAGTGCCTTGGTGTCACAACTCACAGCAACCTGAAACTCTTGGGCTTAAGCAAGTCTCTGCCTCAGTCTCCTAAGCAGGTGGAACTATAGGTGCTCGATGGCTATTTTTGGTTGCAATTTTCATTGTTTAGTTGGCCCAGGTTGGTTTGAACCCGCCAGGCTTGGTGTATGTGGCTGACGCTATAACCACTGTCCTACAGGCACCAAGCCTGCAGTTACTATTTTGAAGTACCAAAAATGTCCCGAAAGTTTTTTTGATGGTTGGTTACATTGTTAGTTCCATAATAGCATTTCCAATATCATTGTTTTTCTTCCCAGCTAGACTGCCTTTGCTCTCGACACATTTGCTTGTGATGTGACCCATTCTATTTCCTTAACTTCCATGCCTGTGTCATCAACCTCTTCCTCCTCACTCTCTTCTTGTACAGTTGGAGTCTGTGTTTTCCTGAATGTTTGAAACAGCTTCACCTTGAACCTTGAATTTCTCAGCAGCTGCTAGCTTTGTCTGCTGAGATAAATCCTCGATCTTGGCTTAGCTGGGCTCTTGTAGACATCTGGTTTTGTGATGACAAAGAGGATATTCTTAGATTTCCGGATAGTGAGTGTAGTAACCCCTGTAACTTGTCCAAGACCCAGTTTGGGCATAGCCTTCCGTGCCTTCTGTTCACTCCGACTCTGTTTTGCTTTACTGACTGGTGCTTCATGGGTCTCAGCTGCCGCTGCCGCTGCCAGCTGCGCTTACTGTGTGCTTGCCTGTGTGGAGTCTTGCTCCTCTAGCTCTGGTACTGATTCATCGCTGTCAGATTCTGTTCCAGGTCCTGTCTCAGCCTGAGGCTGTGGCAACTCCTGCTCTGTAGCAGGGAAGGTTTCTGTGGCTTCCCCAGGCATGTTGGGCAGGGAACGTGGAACCAAGATGGTGGCAGAAAAACAGGAGTGAAGAACTATTAAGAGTGAGAGGTCAATGCTGAGGAATCAGACATGCTGGTGACTCTGCAGCCACCTGCAACCCCAGCTGATGCTGCTGGATCTTGCCCAGCTGTGTCTGTTATGCGGGTCTCCTGCTAGGCTCCTGTGGCCGAATAATGTGGGGATTTGTCAGCAAATGGGAAAGGGAGTCTCAGAGATTCTGTGGACTTGAGTGAGTTGCTTGAGTGATGGAGAACTCAGCCTAAAATGGGACCAGAATGACCACAGCCTTCAGCAGACATCATCTTGGGTGCTGTCCATCATCAGATGATCAACAGAATGAGTTTGGGTTTGGGCAAAATTCCTACCTTGAAGTCCTTCCCTACTGCCCTCCACTCACTGCTACCATTCCCCAGAACTAACTTCTTACTCTGCGTTCCAGGTGCCTCAAGACCCCGTTGGAGACCCTCTCAATAATCCGCTGTCCGCTTTTAGAATCAGACCTGAGCCATCTGTCTTGGTGCCCGACCCTCACTGAACTAAAGCACCTGGTCTTGTCTAAAGTGAGACTGACCGATTTCAGCCCTGAGCCCCTTCAACTTCTCCTGGAGAGAGTCGCTGCCACTCTGCAGACCCTGGACCTGGAGGACTGTGGGATCTCGGATGCCCAACTCAGAGTCATCTTGCCTAGCCTGAGCCGCTGCTCCCAGCTCACCACCTTCAGCTTCTGCGGGAACCAGATCTTCATGCCAGCCCTGGAGGACCTGTTACGCCACACTGTCAGGCTGAGCAAGTTTAACATAGGGCAGTACCCTGTGCCTCTGGAGAGCTATGATGCTTGGGGAGTTTTCCATCAGGAAATCCTTGCTCAATTTGCAGCTAAGCTGAGGCGGACACTGAGTGATTTGCAGTTGAAGAGGATCTTCTTTGGCACAGTCCCCTGTCCTGAGTGTGGCAACGGAGCCCTCTATGACCTGGACATGGTTCGGCATTGTTGCTGAATGACCGTCTAGTTTGGGCGGATGCACCACACTCTGCTGTGCCCTTGGAAGCTGAAACCTGGGACTTCAGTGCATCCTAAAGAGAGCACCGAACCCAGCATTGTAGACACCTGCCCAGTGGGAATGGGAAAGGGACAGTGATGCAGCAGGGGGAAGGACCTGGGGTAAAGGCTGACCTCGGGAGCCATTGGGACCTGTGGGGACATGGGTCCTAGAGAGTCAGAAATAGGAATCAGGGCTTGGGCCTATATAGCTCAATTGGCTAAGGTGGCATACACATACACCAGAGCAGGAGGGTTCAAATCCAGCCCGGGCTTGCTGAACAACAATGACAACTATAACCAAAAAATAGCCAGGCGTTGTGCGTTGTGGCAGGTGCCTGTAGTCCCAGCTACTCGGGAGGCTGAGGCAAGAGAATCGCTTAAGCCCAGGAGTTTGAGGTTGCTGTGAGCTGTGACCACCATGGCACTCTACTGAGGGCAACATAGTGAGACTCTAAGAAATATTTAAAAATAAAACAAAATAGGGCAGCACCTGTGGCTCAGTGAGTAGCGCGTCAGCCCCATATCCCAAGGGTGGCGGGTTCAAACCCAGCCGTGGCCGAACTATAACAAATAAAAGAAAAAGAAATAGGAATTAGAATTTCTAGGGCAGGATTGAGGCTTGTTATGAGGAGTCACCTGTACATGGATGGATGTAAACAGGGCAGGGCATGGGGGCTCACACCTGCAATCCCAGGTCTTTGGGAAGCAGAGGCAGGAGGATCACAAAGTCAAGAGTCCAGGCTGCAGTGAGCTATGATTACAGCACTGCAGGCCAGCCAGTTTGACACAGTGTGCTTAAAAAAAAAAAAAAAAAAAAATAGAAGTTTTGTTTTGTGATTGGGAGGCTGAGGTGGGTGGGGTACCTGAACTCAGGAGTTGGCAACCAACCAGAGCAACGATTAGATCCCATCTCTAAAAATTATTTGGGCATTGTGGGCACCTGTAGATCCTGCCACTTGGGAGGCTGAGGCCAGAGGATCACTTGAGCCCAGGAGTTTGACATTGCTGTGAGCTATGATGCTACAGGTTGCTACTGTGGGTAACAAAGGGGGACTGTCTTAAAAAATCAGTAAATAAAATAAATGCAAATTTATAAAAACTGAGCCTCAATGTAACCCACCAGCTGGTTCCTCATGTTCAACTTGGCTTTTTGATTGAAACCTCAGGAATCTAGCAGGTCTCGGTCACTCATACCTGTAGTCCTCGCACTCTGGGAGGCCACGGTGAGTGAACTGGCTGAGCTCAGGAGTTTGAGATCAGCCTGAGGAAGAAGGAGACCCCGTCTCTACAAAAAATAGAAAAACTACTTGGGCATTGTGGTGGGGGTCTGTAGCTTCTGGGGAGGCTGAGGCAAGAAGATCCCTGTACTCAAGGTGACAGTGAAACTCTGTTTCAAAAAATAATGAAACCTGAGGAATCTTCCATTACCGATAGTGAAGAAGGGGCACTGAGCTGTCACTGGTGAGGTTCCAGGCCAGAAACTCAAGACATCAGATGGAAATGTGACCATTTGGATCCACTCCTTTTCCTTCATGTCTTCTCTGGGCATGTGTCATCTCCTTGCTTTGTTCCAGGGCTCTTTAGAGAGTTAATCCACAGAAGGTGGACATACAGGGTCTGCAACCTGGGAATTGGGCCACGGCTGTGAGCCCCCTGAGCAAAGGCCCCCCTTGCCTGCTAACGAGATGCCAAGCACTGGCCGCTCCTTATGGGTCTATAGATGGATCCCAGAGGTCTTATTTTATGGACATTGGCTTTGCCTCTGCTCCTCCCATCTCTCCACACCTGCTGCACTGGAACATGCCGTCCACACCATGTATTAGCACAGCGGTTCTCAACCTGTGGGTTGTGACCCACAGGAACTGTATGAAAGGGTATATCTGGAGGTAGAATGGATAATGCATGATGGGAGTGAGCATCAGTGGCCAGCACAGTGGGAAATCATGCCAGTGCATACATCCCATGACCAAAAGTGTCATTGAAGGCCCAACCAGAGTAGGGATTTTAGTAGTATATTGTGCTAGGGGTTAGTAGGGATCATTTCGTCAGCCTTGTGTGCAGGCGGGATGCAAGGAGGAGGCTGCTCGGAGGGCCCCTGGGCACAGGCTGTGCTGGGGCGCCCCTTACCTTGTCTTCTCTGGACCAACAGGAGCTGTAGGTCTCCATAGTTCTCTCATGGCTTCAAGGAGGTGCTGCCATATCTGTTGGCAGGGGGTGAAACTCAAATGGGAATGTGTCAGGGGAACAGAAAGTTACAAAGTACTGTTCAGGAAATCTCACTGGCCTGGGAACTTAACACAGATAACTACAAAAAGGAAATTATGAAAAAAAAGTTTTCTTGCTTATGGAGCTGGTTATAACATCAGAGGTGGAATAAGCATGAAGGTTCCTGTGGCTACTGAATGACCTTCCCTGTGGCGAGGGACCCAGCTGAGGGGTCAGGGGCCGGTGTTGTTGAGCAGGAAACTTGGGTATGAGCCTCACTTTCCCTGAAACATGAGGATGGTGGTGCCCACCAGCTTATGGGAGCCTCATAGGATCCAACAAGATGGTGCAAGTATCGGGCTTGGTTCAGGGGCTTGCATACAGTAAGAGCTCAATAAATGCATTTCCCCCTGCCTTTTCCTTGTAGCAGAAGCCCCCAGCATTCTTCGTCCTCCATTCTCACCCTCTGTTTCTGACCAAAGAGGTGGGCAGGAGCACAGGGTTCGCAGCAAGACCCAGCTTTCCTGTGTAGCCAAAATGAAATCGTGATGTGCACCAACAGCAGAGCGTTAGCATCTGGGAGCGGGTGGGGTGGGGAACGCACGACTGAATTCACCTGTCCTAAGCCTAAAGCTAAACACTTCCAACCCGCAGGATTCGTGCACCATTGGCAAGTCAACTCAGATTGTACAAATTAATGTTAGAAGAAGGACATATTGTGTGCTATTTCTTAATATCTCCTATTATGTAAGTGCTATTTGAGTGTAAATGTTTGTGCTGCGATCGATATAAATGTTAAAAATATGAGCTCGGTGCCTGTTGCTCAAGTGGCTAAGGAACTAGCCACATGGACCAGAACTGGCGGGTTTGAATCTAGCCCGGGCCTGCCAAACAACAATGACAACTACAACCAAAGAAATAGGCAGGTGTTGTGGCTGGTGCCTGTAGTCACAGCTACTTGGGAGGCTAAGGCAAGAGAATTGCTTAAGCCTAGGAATTTGAGGTTGCTGTGAGCTGTGATGGCATGGCACTATACCCAGGGTGACAGCTTGAAGCTCTGTCTAAAAAAAAAAATGTAATATATATGTATATACATACATATACATATATATCTACATATACACACACATATGTGTTGCCTTTTTTTTTTTTGAGACAGAGTCTCACTTTATCATCCTCGGTAGAATGCCCTGGTGTCATAGCTCACAGCAACCTCAAACACCTGGGTTCAAAGAGATTCTTTTGCCTTAGCCTCCCTGGTAGACGGGACTATAGCCACCTGCCATACCCCCAGCTATTTTTTAATTCTTAATTTAATTTATTTATATTTTACACTGAGTCTCACTTTGTCACCCTTGGTAGAGTGCCGTGGTGTCATAGCACACAGCAACCTCAAACTCTTGTCTCAAGTAATTCTCTTGCCTCAGCCTCCTGAGTAGCTGGGAATATAGTCACCTGTCACCAGGCCCAGCTAGGTTTTCTATTTTTAGTAGAGATGGGGGTCTCGATTTTGCTCAAGCTGGTCTTGAACTCCTGAGCTCAGGAGATCTACCCACCTCGGCCTCCTAGAGTGCTGGGATTACAGGCGTGAGCCACCACACCCAGCCAAATAATGCAATTTCAGTATTAGAAGGAATTATCACAGCTATTCTTTTTCTGTTTTTTTTCTTTTTTGAGACAGAGTCTCACTATGTCGCCCTGGGTAGAGTGCCATGATATCACAGCTCACAGCAACCTCAACCTCTTGGGCTGTAGGGATTCTCTTCCCTCACCCTTGGTAGAGTGCCGGGCATCATAGCTCACGGCAACCTCAAACTCTGGGGCTCAAGTAATTCTCTTGCCTCAGCCTCTCTTGCCTAAGTAGCTGGGAGTACAGGCTCCTGCCACAGTGCCCGGCTATTTCTTTGGAGCAGTTGTCATTGTTGTTTGGCAGGCTCAGGCTGGATTCAAACTTGCCAGCTCCAGTGTTATGTGGCTGGCGCCCTCGCTGCTGAGTGACAGGCACCGAGCTTTTTTTCAATATTGACTTTTTAATTTGTTTAGGGCAGTTTTAGATCCACAGGAAAACTGGACAGAAAGTCAGGAGTTTCTATCTTGCCCTGTCCCCACACAGGCACGGCCTGCTAAGGATCAGCGTTTGGACTGTAGGAAAGGGTGCTGCCCTTTCTTACAATCAAGGAGCCTGCGCAGAGCCATGGGTATCACCTAAAGTCTCTAGTTTACCTGAGGGTGACTGTCGGGGATGTACACGCTATGGGTTTTGACAAGTGGTGGTGACGTGTGTCCACCATTGTACTACTGTGCAGGGTACTCTCACTGACAATCCGCTGTGCTCTGCGCCTTCATCCCCCGTACCCCAAGTCCGGGCACCCCCTGGGCTGTCTACTGCCTCCACAGTGTCCCTCTCCAGATTGTCGTCCAGCACGCAGCCTCTTCAGATTGCCTTCCTTCACTGCTCACTGACACAAATTTAAGGTCCCTCTTTGTCTTTTCACAGCTTAAGAATTTGACATTCATGACAGTTTCTTTTTCTCTTTTTTTCTTTTCCTTTTTTTTTTTTGAGACAGAGTGTCAATCAGTTGTCCTGGGGTTGAGTGCCCTGGCATCATAGTTCACAGCCACCTCAAACTCTTGGGCTCAAGCAGATCCTCTTGGCTCAGTTTCTTTCTTTCTTTTTTTTTTGAGACAGTCTTGCTATGTCACCCTGGGTAGAGTGCCACTGCGTCACACCTCACAGCAACCCCCAACTGTTGGGCTTGGGAGAGTATCTCACCTCAGCCTCCCAAGTAGGTTCGAACCCATCACCCTACGGGGCCAGCGCCCTAGTCACTGAGCCACAGGTGCTGCTTTTTTTTTTTTTTTTTTTTAGAAACAGAGTCTCACTTTATCACCCTCGGTAAAGTGCTCTGGCATCACAGCTCATGGCAATCTCCAGCTCCTGGGCTTAGGCGATTCTCTTGCCTCAGCCTCCTGAATAGTTGGGACTACAGGCACCTGCTACAACACCCAGCTATTTTTTTGTTGCTGTTGCAGTTTGGCCACAGTCTGGGTTGTAACCCGCCACCCTCATTATATGGGGCCAGCACCCTACTCACTGAGCCACAGGAGCCGCCCAACTCAGGCTGGTCTTGAATTCCTGAGCTCAGGCAATCTGACTGCCTTGACCTCCCAGAATGCTCAGATTACAGGCATGAGCCAGCGAGCCCGGCCTTTCTTCTTCCTTGTTTTTCTTTTCTTTTCTTTTTGAGACAGGATTTTGCTCTGTTGTCTGAGCTAGAGTGCCCTGCTATGATCATAGCTCACTACAGACTCAAACTCTTGGCCTCAGGATCCTCCCGCCCAGGCCACCTAAAGTTCTAAGATTGCAGGCACGAGCCCCTGCATCCAGCCAGACATCACCTCTTAGAAGTCTCTGTCACCCTGTGGTCGCACAGCTGAGCATGGAGCCTGGCCTGTGGTAGGCAATGCTTGTTGACAGGGTGCATGGAAATCTTCATCATCTCTTTAGAGCCACTAAAAGGCAAACTGGGGACATTGACATTCCTGGCTATCAATAATAAAAAAAACTTAGGGAGGAAATAGCCATGCTGATGTGCTGGTCACTGCACGTGCACCATGACAGACCAGCAGTCGTGAGAGGCACCACGGAGAAAACACTTCTGCTTTTCCTCCGTCCCCCCTACTCATACCTGACGACATTTGCAGTATAAGATCCTGCAGCCAGACACAGAAAGCAAACATGGCCCTGATGGTTCTCTTCCTTCTAGGTCCTTCCTTGGAGACGGTTCAGCTCAGGGAGCCTCTTCCAGACTTTGGTCTGAACTTCTGTACATTTCCATGTTCACATAAAGACATCTGGCATTCTATTCCCTTACAAAATTAGCATCTGAGGATGGAGGTGGTGGCTCAGGCCTGTAATCTTAGCACCCTGGGAGGCCGAGGCAGATGGATTGCCCTGAGCTCACAAGGTTCAAGAGCATGGCGGTGGGTGCCTGCAGCCCCCGCTACTCGGGAGGGTGAGGAAAGAGAATCACTTGAGCCCAAGAGTTGGAGGTTGCTGTGAGCTGTGACGCCATGCAAGTCTACCAAGGGTGACAAAATGAGACTCGGTATAAATAAGTAAATAAGTAAAAATAGTGTCTGAGGCTGGGCTCAGAGGCTCACGCCTATAATCCTAGCACTGGGGGAGGCTGAGGCCATTGTATTGCTTGAGCTCACTAGTCTGAGACCAGCCTGAACAAAAGCAAAACCCTATCTAAACTAAGAATAGAAAAAGTAAAAACAAAAACAAAAAAACACAAAAATACAAATACTATCCTGGCGTGGTGGCACGAACCTGTAGTTCCAGCTACTGGGGAGGCTTAGTCAAGAGGATCACTTGAGTCCAAGAGTGTGAGTTTGCTGGCTCGGCGCCCTTGGCTCAGTAGTTAAGGCGCCGGCCACAGACATCAGGGCTGGTGGGTTTGAACCTGGCCAGGGTGTGCTAAACAACAATGACAACCATAACAAAAAAATAGCCAGGCCAAGTGGTAGGCACTGGTGGTCCCAGCTAGTTGGGAGGCTGAGGCAAGAGAATCACTTAAGAGCAAGAGTTTGAGCTTGCTGTGAGCTGTGATGCCTCAGTACTCTATTGAGGGTGATATACTGAGACTGTCTCAAAAAAAAAAAAAAGAGTTTGAGGTTGCTGTCAGCTATGCTGCCTCAGCACACAATTGAGAGTGACAAAGTGAGACTCTGTATCTCAGTAAATAAGTAATGAATAAATAAGTAAAAATAAACAATAAAATCTTCACTGTGCTGCACTCAGGACTGTGAGGACCACACATTGTACAACTCCATCAGTACATGGGAATCACAGGGAGGAAGGAATCCTTGACTTCAGCCTACCCCTAAGCCCCTCAGTTTTATGATGGGATTTCTGATCAATCAGTTAATCTGGAGCCAGCCAAAATTCAATCAGAAATATTGGGGTGGAGCCTCAGGAACCTAATCAGATGCTGAGTTCTGATTGGAAGCTGGGAGTTTAAAAGGGGAGGTGTGATTAGAAAGGTCTCAGTGTGAGCTCCTGGTGAGCCAAGCCCTGCAGCCTGGAGTTACTGCTGGTTTCTGCCTGAGGTCCCAGCGCCTGTGACCTTAATCTACACCTGGTAAGTCACAGATTCCATAGGCACAGTCCCATCACTGTGTCTAAGATGACACAGAAATGCCCTGTGTGTTTTTCAAATAAACTCTTTGGAGTTTGATTTTTCCTCTAAATGTGATTCTGTCTGCAATCCTAAATTGCCTGTTTGTGCTTTTGCTTTAGCTTTTGTTTAGTTTTTAGACAGGGTCTCACTTTGATGTCCACTTGTGATTTCACAAGTTGGCCTTTCTTTGTTACTAAAAGCTTAAAAATATTCTGTATAAATTACATGTAATATTTCTTTATTCTCTATCTCTTTATTTGTATTTATTTAATTTTTTAATTTTTTTATTTTTTATTTTATTTTATTTTATTTTTGAGACAGAGCCTCAAGCTGTCCCCCTGGGTAGAGTGCTGTGGCGTCACAGCTCACAGCAACCTCCAACTCCTGGGCTCAAGCGAGTCTCCTGCCT